TCATTACACTGCGTTGTGCAAAGAAATGTGGAAGAAGATTCGGGAAGACTACGAAGAGCATAGGAGAACGAGGCTGGGAGAGGTCACATTAGGAAAGAACTGCTTGAATGCCGCGGAGAAGGGCATCTTCTTAAAGTAGCGGATTTCGGTAGTAATAAAGGATGAACGAGGAACAAGAACTACAGATCCATGTCTGATGAAAGCAGATATGACAACCCCTACTTCTTTAAGGTGAATGTAAACCGGAAGCTGCTACGCGTTGCTCCTGAAAACGTTCACGAAGTCAAATGGGCCGAAGTAGACTGGCAGATGTCCTGGCATAAAATGGGAACATCTTAAGTTAGGAGGAATGATCCTATTCAAAGCCTTTGCCGAACGATTTACGCAGTACATCAGTATGAATCAGTATGATCATCAGGATGTATAAGTAGCCAGAAGCACAGAAGAGCTCCTTGATTCTTCTCTTCAAGAAAATTGAAGCTGAATACCTCCAGAAATATCGACCCATCACTCTCGTCACAAGTTTACAAGGCCTTTACCATATTCCTCCTCAACGTATTCAGAAACACCTGGAAGTTTGAAACCTGTTCGACCGTGACGAGCAAGCCGGTTTCCAAGAAGGATTATCCGCCAAAGACCACGCCCACGCACATCACGAAGCAGTTAACAGAAAAGTGAAATGTGCAAGGTATTTAAATCCCTTTTCTGCTGCGCATTCATCGATTTCAGAAAAGCGTTTGATTCCATCGAGCTGATTGATGTACTGAACGCCTTGCATCAACCAGTCTAAGCTTAATCAAGAAACTGAATACTGACACCGAAACCGACATTCGGCGTGTCGAATCAACATCAAAAGAGCTTAACACTAAGGAGAGATCATCTCTTCTCAGCTTTGTGCATCGCCGCTAGAATTCCTCTTTAACTGTCTGAACTGGGGCAGCGGGATTAATATCGACAAAGAACAACTCATTTATCTGCTCTTTGCAGACGACGTCATCATCTTCGCCAAAGACCCGGCGGAGCTCGAAACAAAAACTGTGCAGTTTCAAAAGGAGTCACGCACCACTGGTCTGTTAATGAACATCTCGAAGACAAAGTGGATGCACAACGAGCACGTTCCGAGGGTACCATCTTCACTGACGTCCAAGAAGTGGAAAAAGTCGCTAGCTACGTACATTTAAACCAGGTAATAGCGTCCAATAACATCAATGATCAGATGAGCAGAAGAAGGAAGGCGGAACAGGCAAGTTTCAATCATATCAAAACATCGCCACTAGATAACGAACTGCCCATGTCCACGAAGAAAGAACTGTTCAACTCCGCTGTGCTACCTGCCATGAATTATGGGACAGAGTATTGGTCTGCGATGAAAACAAACACAAAGGCCATGAAAAGAAGGATGAATGCTAGGAATTACTGCGAGACCATGTTCCAAGCGAGATAGTTCAGTGTTGGACATGATTTTTGGATATATTTACTGCCTTCTGCAACCGGAAGAGACGATGGGCTGGTCATTTGGCTCGTCGAAGGATAACAGATGGAAATCCAGAGTTACTAAGTGGATTACTTTCAGCAACAGACGTCCACTCGGTTGTCCACCAACATCCTGGGATGATCCAATGATGAAGCTGTTCAGTCAACAATGGAAACAAAAGATACAGCATCCAAAAGAGTGGCGGAATGCAGACTTGAGTCTGTGGTGCGGTCACTGAGGAAAACAGATCAGAGAGAAGAATTCTCGTTAGACAGTGCTTGTGTGCAGTAAAAAATTAGTCTAGTAAAGACGTCGACTTATCGACGAAATCCCGGCAGAGGGAGTCGTTATAAGGGTCGTAACTGCAACCCAGAACGCTTTAATTAGCATATATGTTTTATAGAATAAATGAAACAAACAAACCGGTGTCACAGTGCAGCCAT